AAATTAGGGTTAGGTTTAAGGTTAGATTTAAAGTTAACGGTAGGGTAAGTCAGGATCAAGTTTAGGGTTGGAGTAGGCCAACTGCAAAGTTGAGGGCAAAGATCAGAACATCCCGCGCATTTGGAAACACTATGATTACCGCTGGAGCTAAGTCCTTGGACGCAGGGTCGCAAGCTTAATGGCCAAATGACCTTGATGGTCCCAAGAGGCCGATGAAGATAAGCGGAGGAGAGGACCTCAGAACAAATAGCATGTGAGCGCTCTGGTACGTTGGACGGGCAGTCCAGTCCATCAGGGACTTTTTTTCCCAGACTCCTCTTGTTTCCCACACTTGTGATGCTTTGCGCACTGTTGGTGACCGACAGTGAGGCTGAGAAAGGTTGGCTATATCAGCATTTCAAGCGGGCATTCGCAATTTTTGATGAAGACTGCTTCTCCAAAGTCGTCGGCACGTTTGTAAGGCCCCATCTCGCATATGCGATTCAGACCCGGAGACCGTTGGACGCAGCAGGATTCCAATCTGCTCGAAAGGGTGCAGAGGCGAGCAACAAAATTGATAAGAGGTCAAGGTGCACTGGCATACGAGATCCGTCTAAACAACCTAAGTCTCTATCCTCTGAGTTATAGGCAGTTGCGCGGAGACTTGATACAAACTTTCCGTATCGTGCATGGCTTGGACTGCGCCCTTCGGTGCGACGACTTTTTCCAACTCGCCACTACAAATAACCTTCGGGGACATCCCTTCAAGCAATATGTGCCCCAGGGTAGATTGAATGTGAGAAAATATTTCTTCTCCAACCGTGTCATGGGACCGTGGAATAACCTGCCCGAGACGATTGTTATGTCTCAATCTGTGGAGACATTTAAATGTCAGCTTGACAGACATCCTGCAGCAACAAGCGGACTATGTGACTTTTTAGCCATGAGACCAGTGTCCTCTATGAATCAATGTCTACATTCACGTAATGCTGTAATTTCTTCACATTTTTGCATATTTTATCGATTTTTATGTACAAATAGAGAGTTCAAAGGCGTAAGTCTATCTCCCTCAAATACACTGGCTGACTGATTTCCAAAACTTGCCACTAGATGGCGTGGTGCCCGTACCGTGGCACGAATAAGTGCGTCATTTCAGCGTGCACGCCGGCGCACTGCGCCACCGCCCCGTCCTCGAACAAGGTCAGCCAACCAGGATGCGCGAGTTCGACCGGTCGATAAGAGTTGCTGGGGCGAGTACGAGCAACTGGCATGAGGCGACAGGACTGGATGGCCGCCAGTCTTTTGTAAGCAGAGAAGATCCAGCAAAACCTAATGGCTCTAAGGGGCCAGTTGCGCGACTTCTTCAGCTTTTCTGCCGGGTTCAGTCTGCTGTCTTGGAGAAAAGCCCAACGCCCATTGGCGACCGGTCACTGAGGAGATAAGCAGATAATTGTAAAGCGCACCGACACTTCGCCCAAAGGGTGTACTGTTCCACTCGTGTGAAAAGTGAAAATCGCGAGTTCTCGAGAGTCCTAAGACTACAAAACAGTCTGACTGGAGTTTCTGCCGGCACCGGCTATCTAAAGATACGGCAGAGTTTTGCGGAGTAGCTGCAATAACACCCGCGAAACGCACTCCCCACACCATACGACAGTTCGGCCGTCGTTGCCGGTGATGTCCAACGTGTGCACCGCAAAAAACTGCGGGGGGGGGCGGTGACCTGTGCGTGAATTAGTTTATAGTGAATGTAGACTTGCACAGCATCCAACTCACTTTATCCTCCTCCCCCTTCTGGACCCGGTGTCAAGAAGGCCAGAGGCAGAGGAGGGCGCGGTCGGGCCCGCACATTGGCGTTCCATTCCACATCCCCTGGCTCATACAGCAAGTAATCAGGTTTTTAATCAACAACATAAGGGTGGCTGGCACGGCCGGCGCCGTGCCACAACCGCGTCATACGCGACCGGTCTGTCGTATTCTGCTCTCGAGGATGCTCGAAGCCAAAGACGGAGCATCCTCTACACGGTAGTCTTTCGCATTTTAAATATCAATAATGTCAAGCCTTGACCTCTATCTCCTAGCAACGACGCAGAATGGATAATTCCTGAAAATGGGACGTACTCTAGATGTGCTCTCATGGAGTGTTAACCAAAATTCCGAATTGTGTCTTCAACTCGAAAAGGTTACTTAAGTAGGGTTGTAGGTTAAATCATCGTGGGGCATAATACAATGATGTTCAAGTCATATCAGGATGCCGGCCTTCGAACGAGCTCCCTATCGACCGCCTGAGTAAACTAAATTCCGTAAAAATGACTGCTTAAGTAGCATGACATTTCCCAATTCATTTTCAATACCATTAAAAATTCGAGCATACCTTTTAGAAGCATGCATAAAGGTATTATTTTACGCAGTAGCAAATTATGTCTTTTTTAAATTCTATACTTGAAGAAAGGGTATCTTTTGGTTTTGAGTTCCTAACGATGAGATTTCTCAAGACCGTGGAACGTTCAATCGTACAGCATCGCGTCAGCGCATTTATTGTCACTGCTTATAAAGTGAGTAACGTGGCCCACATCCATTACAAAATTTTATGAGCCATATATATTCTGTTGCTAATAGCATACAGGAATGTACCTCGTACGTAAAGAATACAACTTGTAGTTCGGAAAACCTGGATGCAACTATAACGGCAGGTTGAGTTCGAAAGTAATCTGAAATTGGGTCCTTTTAAACCGAAATGTACTCTTTCTTCGAGTACAAAATTTGAAGTAATTTGTTACCAAATGAATAAAAGAAAGGATATTTTGTGCACGTTCCCAATAAGATATATTTGAATTTATACAGGTATCAAAATTAATGGAAAAATCTATGTTAGTCAGGTACACATCTTTTACGGATAAGGAGCCCCTCCGACAGCCGCATCCTGACGTGCGCGGAGTATCTTAACATTATGCAACACTGTAATTAATATTACAAGCCTACTAAAGTGATCTTTTGGAACTGAATACACACTTCGGAATCCCAGTCAAAATGTAATGAGATAGCAAATCTACTGCATTTCAATCAGGGCCACACAGGCACGACGGCACAGAGACCTCAGACTAATCGTTCGGCCAAGGAGGGAACTCGCAGTGGGCAGTCCGCCAGTCAGAACAAGCTGACATCCGACATTACTCCGAACAAAGTATATACATTAAGCCCTATCAAACGGTCCGACAACGCACTCGCCTACCGTCTGGCCAAAGATCTCGGCAACTGTTTTGAACAGCCAGCCACTGGCTCTCGGTCGCAGAGGAGTTAGGGCAGAAAAAGGAGATTCTGAGTGCTAGTAATTTTGAGCAGTCAGGGTCCGGAAATTTAATAGCGTCCTTAAAATCCATAACCGTTCATCCAACCGCCAACGGTGAGGGGGACGGGTTACGGCAGCATATAATACCAGTCAGGGAGGCGGGTGCGCCCGGGGAGGGTCCGTTCCCGAGACAGGGGAAAGTTAATCACGTGACCCAACTACTCCAGCTCGAGGTTCGCCTCTCAAAGCCATAGTAATGGTCTTACGCACCCGGTGAACACGTGTAACCAAAAATACGCAAATCTAATTCCAACCTGTCTGTGGGGATGGGAACACCTGTCCAAACATACAGCCTACCAGACCAATCCGCACACACCGACTGTAGCAGCCGTGGTCGACATAATCAAGCACGATCAAGACGCCGAAAATAACCTGCCTGCAGACTGTGGCGGAGTTGGTTAGAATTAAGGACATATAAAACCGCCAAACAGAGAAACTCCGACGATGGTCTCGTATAGGCACAACCGCCACGAGAATGAGTACTCCGTCCGTCTCATTGGTTATTTCGGGGAGGATTAAGGGGGAGGCGGCGAATTGCATATACTCGGTGTATTTACATTCCACACGGAAAACTATAGACAAATCCTCTATCCAAAATCGTTAACTCAACATGGTCAATTACACTGTTTCGGAAATATATATATGTATGTACACTAGGATATATACAGAGCCAAGATACCACGAATTGCTGCCCGTTTCAGTAAAATAGGCCAATCTCCAAGGTTCGGTCGTTACGACTGCAGAAGTCAGATAGATATTCGGAGATTAAGAGTGGAGACAAAGGGGGGAATGCGTGCGCACAAAGGCAACCGTTCTGTAGTATGCACAGAAGCAATGAAAGAAAAATCCGCAGGCAGTTTGATAGCAACAGCAGTCGATGCACCAAGGCATCCTCAGCGACGGTGAGATGGAATGATGCCGATTGGGTAGGCGTGACTTGTCAGTAGAGACTAACAGCGACACGACAGTGAGGCTCTGTACAGCCGGCGATAGCCGCCGAATTGGCAGTAAAACCGCCCTCTTTCACACGCCCTCCTCCGCGGTAACTAGCCGACGCTAACCTGCTCCGTCACAAGTCGACCGCACGTGTGTGTGTGCGCGCGCCTCGCTCCGTGTCAGCTGCGTGTGCGCATCACACACGTCCACCACTTTTCTCTTTCTCTTTGTGGAGGTGGAGAGAGAGCCTTCATAGCCTGGTTGCCACTGCCTCCACTAGAACGACCGCGAGGATGGCGACGGGGCAGATCGATGACTGCAGTAGCAGTGTAGTCGTCAGTACGGAGGGTCACATGCAGGCAGTTCTGAATGCGTCAAGGCAAAGAGCCAATCGGAGCGCAGAGAGGAAAGACGACGAGTGATCGATGACCGTGGGCGCGCGCGAAAGCGAGCGAACAACCACACATACGGCCTGACAGGCGCGTGGTATGCGCGCAATGGCAACAGCATCGACCGCAACACATTGTGCGCGACCAAGGGTGGAGGGCGGCGGCGGCGGCAGCAGGCGGATGATTCTGAAAGAAGACCGGGGCTAGCGGAAACAACGCGCGACGAAAGACTGAAAGTTGTTGTAAATGCCAAGTTGGTTGGGGAATCGTGAAGAGACAGCCTCGGGCGAGAGCGCCTAGCAGCAAACGGGAACGGGGAGTGGACGAAGTACACACAAACACGACGTGCATCACACAACGACTATAAGCATGTGGGGTATTGCACTTTGTGTCAGGAGCCGCAGGAGTTCCGGAGCCACCTGTTGTAGCTGCGTTCGAGAGAAGTCGCATGGAGGGAATATGTGCATCACGAAGGGATTCTGTAAATCAAAAATGGCAAACGGTGTGGTACAAATGGGGTGGTGGTGGTGAGAGAGCGTGAGAGGCCGTGAGTGTGCGCAAAGAACAAAAATGCAAGGTACAAATGAAATCGGGAAAATTTATTCTCCCTCACAAGCAGGGATAAAAATACATACAACTGTTTTGCAGTGGCCAACACCTCCCCAACTCAACGCGTCCTATTCATAAAGAACCTGTTTATATAATTAGAGAAGCTGACGTTCCAGGGCGTGATCAGTGACTCCTATGGGCTGTGGAGCTCGCGTAGGTTAGTCGTTCCCTCAGCTTTTCGACAAATATAATCCAAAATACCCTTTGATTGGCTTCAAATCCGACAAACTGACCCCGAAACGCTACAACGTGAGGTAATCATGAGGTCTGCCGGCGTCATCCTCCGCCCTAACAGTCAGTGGTGCATTTCAGCAAGTCAGGATAAGCAACGGGATTCTAGGATATTGTAGCATTCCTCACCATTTACGATCACGACTCGTAGGTAAAATAGACATTTAAGAAATTTTGTTTGTTAATACCGAGAGCCGATCACTGGGAACGGTAATTTGTTTGCTAGTCCAAAAGCTCAGATGGATAAATTTCTGTTCCCGACGATCGACTCTTCCAGTTCACCAGTTACGCTCGTATTTAAGACGATCAAATCGCTTGCTCAATCCGTCCTGACAGCATATCGCACATGAGGAGAACTACCACCATCTTGGACAACGGACTTTGTGATCTGCGTCATGGGTGACTTCCTGTTTGTCTTGCAAATGCAAAATTCCTCATTCTCGCGTTGCAGACTGAATACTGATTCGGATTACATCACACCCATCGTCCTCTGGCTCACTCTAGCCTTGTCCACCTGTGGGTTTCCTCGGCGACGGAGCACGATTAGGACACTAACTGTATGACGTCACAAGACGTGAAACAGTGTTGAAAACCGACAAAATCTGTGGCCTGATGAAGAACCGAGCCCCCTTCCAATCGGTCATTTGAGGCACCCACTTCCTGGAAGACACTTAAATTATTCAGTCCCTGATGATGGATTCGAGTTTGAATCAGAAACGTCAAACAAACAAAATTCTTGTTTCCGTGATCGCGTCTCCTTCCCAACCGTCTCCTGTGTACTCTCGTACCCACCTTATTCATCCTTGACTATCCTTTATTCTGACTGACATTTCTCTCCTAAACCGACGTCCATAGGCCCCAGCACGCCACATACCAATGACCCTGCCAGAACTACCGCAGCTGGTGCCCCAAGCGGCTATTGGGGACCCGTCCGCACTCAAAATCCCCAATTCCGCGATATCCTCGAGGCCAGGCAGACAAGCATCTACTACTTAATGCATCAAAGACACACGAAAATGCTGGTCATGCCTTGGCTGGACGACGGGAAGCCGCTTACGTCTTCCCAACCCTCTATGAGCGATGGCTAGAGACGTACACGACATGTATGGCTGATGAGTCCCATCCAAAATGCATGATGGGCAAATGGGTTTGCGCAGCTGTCGTCTCGGTCAACACTCCGCACCTTCCACCCACGACGACATGTGTTTACCAAGTGTTCAGGGGCGTTCTCCTTGTTCTACTTTTACTCAAAGGCAAAATAAACTAAGGACAGCCAGGCAGGGCATGTTCATGTCACAACTTGTCATTAACTGACGACTGATGCTTCGATTCAGAGATTGCAGCTGAGGTGAGTGTAGGAAATTCCGTAAAAATGACTCCATGATGTATTTCGCAAACGATGAATGCTGGCCCTCAGTTCGACCAACTTACATTTACACAACCCGTATAGGCTTGGTAAGTAACGAGATTCAAAAACTGTAGTACGGAGCATTTTTAGAAATGCGGAAAAGCAAAACAACCAAGGAAGTGTGACGTAGCAGACAATTTGCTTAGTTCAACCTATCAGCAAAGGCTATCAAGTAAGAGGTAGATTGGTCCTCAATGCTTACGCGACTAGTATAAACAAGTGATGAGCTGGGCGTAAATGAAAACTTTACAAGATCTCGAACATTACCTTGCAGAAGACGTTTTTGAAGGGAACATCGTGAGTCTCCAGGTTGAATATTTAACCTTTTGTGGCTACAGGATGATGTAGGATTTACTTATGCGGGCGTCTAAACAGGACATGAGGACAGGAGCCGCCTGCAACACGGGTGGCTTTGAGCCAGTTTCCAATAAAATTAAGGTTATGTTTAAGCTAAGGGCTAGGGTTAAGTTAAGGATTACGTCTAAGGTAAGGTCTAAAGTTTACGGTAAAGTAAGTCAGGATAAAGTTTAGGGTTAAGGTAGGGGCTAGCGTTAACTGAAGAGTTAAGGTTTAGGGTCAAGACTAGGGCAACGGTTTAGTTTTATATTAGGATTACTGTTGGGATTAGGACACGAGAATATTTTGTCCTTTTGGCGGGACGTCCCTATTTCATGTCCCTTTTAGACGTGCACATAAGTCAGTCCCGCTCATAATGAACTTGCTAATTCTTATACTTCAAGCTCAAAGGCATTTAATCGTAAAGTTTCGGCAGTTAGTAAGAGTGTGGGGACTGCTGAAAACAGGCCGTATATGGCTAGCAGAAAACCACACGGTTTAAACCAGATCGAAGAAATGGATTTTTTGGCATGGAAAGTCAAAGAATGCACTTTCGTCCAGACATCCTTGTAGATTTTTGGACGTCTGAAATTGACAAAGTTTCGCCGGTCTGATACGACGGAAGTCGGAGGTTCGGACTGACAGTTTGTCTGTGGTCCAAGAAGTTCGTTGCAGAACTTGACATCTTCGTTATGCACGCCAACAACCAGTGTGTGAAATGCGTTCATATGTCACTTTAAACTGTTCCTCATTATGGGTATAAAATAAATTCTACTGTGAGGGCCGAGTGTTAACGGAGCTTTTGAAAAGAAGCCACCGAGTGGCAAGACTAAGCTTTTCAAATGACCTAAGGTACTGAAGTCCGATCACCAGACTTAAGGTAGTCATAAAATTAGATGTCTTTCAAATGCAGATAAAGCCGGTGATCGCAACTGTCTACTAAACAAAGAATGAAGCTCATTTGCCGCACTGTTAACGCATAAAGGGAACGAACTTTAGCGAACTCGAGAACAATAGACGCATCAGTAGTTTATCCACAGGCACAATTAAATACGACGCACAAAATTGCGTCGTAAAATGCACTCGCCCCAAAGGCAACTACTTGTGAAGTAAGCTTTCGGAGCAGAACTGCAACGGGTTCTGGTTATAAGAAATTTGGTTTCAAAACCCGGGGCAGAATGCTGAGAGCCCATGGATGGGTCACGCGGTTCGGGCCTGCTGCACACAGCAGCAACAGAAACGTCGGCAAAAAGCGTTAGTGAAAGAGTATGGTAAAAAAGAACTGAATTTGGCAAGTATGAACATCACGCCGGTATTCTTCTAAGGTTGGGAGTTTAAATAAAAATCCAAGCTGAGTCTACTACGGTTCCGCCTCAAGTACTAGTCCTAGTCTGTTTAGCGATTTCGGAGGGAAGTACGGAGTCCGGAATCGCTCCCTGCATCGATCCAGAGTAGAAATAACAAGTTTCGCCACTAACGTCTCTGCAAAGCTCAAACTATGGGGTTAGCAAGGTCTCAGGACAAACAAGTTAAGTCCCGGTAGGGTGTCTCGTCCAAAAGGATATGTAGTTCCACCTAACTTGTGGACTATAAGCACAAAAGATGACGACAATTAATCGTGAGAGAGAATGAACGCACCTCCTGTGATGGCGGACAGCTTATGATACCCGCAGCGACTTTCTCCTGCATATACATAATAAAGTTCTCCTGTAGAATGACATTATTCCGCGTCAGTTCTTCTGTCATGAATTCAGAGCTAACAGGGGTCCCAGCCAACGCAAGACACATACAAAAGCTGTTCGGTTCACGCAGCTTCGCCTGGACAGCTTCAAGCTGGGGATTTTCTAGACGCATCCGCTGTGTGATTCGAAGGATGGGAATGGAGTGAATTCCATCGGGATGTAAGGAGTCCTCAACCGACTGTAGACGGTCCGCAATAACACTCATACAAGTGCGAATAAGATCACGATTCCCGGAGAGGTAATGCATCTGGACGTAGACCTTGTCATTCTTCAGGGCCATGAAGCCGCTCCACTGAAGGGGGAATTTCTGTAAGGAAAAACCAATGTTGACAAAAAATCGTCATAGGGGCAAACGACTGGTATTTACTTAGCGAACAGGTCTCAGTGATTAGAATTTACATAAAGAATTTTCGAGAACGATAGGGTGTAGGGCCCACAAATAGATGTTAAATACAAAAATACAGCCTAAAATTCAGTGACTGTAAACATCACTTATTATTCACCGTTTCCTTAGTTTGAAATTTCCTTTCCTTCCTGAATGAGTGTAAACTTACCAGCGATGCCTTACTCAAAGTCCGTCATTTTTCGAAAATTGCTTTTTGTTTATTTTTTAATTGTCGCGCTCATTTTCCTTGCCAAATGACAACGTACGATAGGACCTTCGGCAGAAATTTATCCATTTTCTATGTCTTCTTGCTTTCCATTTTGTGTGTTGCCCAACCTTAAAACCCCCTCTACCACCATTCAACTTATGACGCGGTCCACAGGCTAGGTCAAGTTTGTTGGGAGCCCTACACCCTATCGTTGTCGAATTTCGAACTGGTCCATTTCCAAGGGAAAAGGAAATCATGTGCCGAGGACGTAGGTGACTGAATAATCACATCCAACAATGGTGAGGGAAATTCTAGGTGAGAAGTCATTTAATCCGAGGTAGGAGACAGTTAATGCAAAATCAGTATAGCTTCTAGAGACGTAAAGATTAGCTAGGCACTGATTGTAAAAAGACAGGTAACTGGATGGAATACCGAAGGAGACAAGGAAGACTGGAGTGGCAGTTTCTGGCTTGTTAGCCGTTGTCAGTCAACCATAGCCAATTTCGGGTCTGGATAACCTGAGATTCGAACACATGTTACGAAAGTGGAAATCAGGACCGATAGGTTGTATACAGAGGAACAACCGATCAATAAACAGAGCAAAATGAGTGGGAATTAAAGCCAGAAAAATGTCTCCTAACCGGGAAAAGTCAAGCAGTCCTACATATCATATTAAGACACTAACAATTTCGACGACTTACATCTTCGGGCAGCTGGGATGTCGGCCAACGTAGTCGAGACGTGTCCGGCAGGAGGGTGGAGGGGGGAGGTGTGCTAGAAATTACTGTGGCGAAGTTGGTGGTTGGGGAGGAGATGACATGGCGCATCGCTCCATCGCTGCGGGGGGAGGCGGCCGCCCCGCCAAGGCCCGGCTGCATTACAGCCATGGCGGCCATTGTGGCTGCCGCTGCAAAGTACTCCGCTGCTTCGTGCGGCGAGCGATCCAGCACATCGCGAGCGGGAAGGGAAGCTGCCGCCGCAGCAGCAGCAGCGGCGGCCAGGCCCTTAGCGACGCCGCCGCCGGTCAAATCACCACCACTGCCGGTGTCTCCCCTGCGGTGGAGGGGCGAAATAGCGGCCTGCTGACAGTGTTGTTGCTGCTGCTGTTGTTGTTGTTGGTTCAAAAGTGAGAGGTAGCTGTTTGCAAGTTGGGCGGCAAATGAGGAGGCATAGGAGGCGGGCTCCATTGAAGCCGCAGCCGCCAGCTGGCTCGAGGAGAGAGCCGGATTGAGAAGAAGGGTGGCAGCGGCGGCTGCAGCGGCGGTGGGGGGAGGCTTCTGCTCGGCAGTGACACTAACGACGGGGGTTACTAGCCTCGGGGAGGCCTGTGACGGCTGCTGGTACTGATCCTTCTTTGGGGCAATGTTTACGGTCGCGGCGGTGGGAGTGTTAGCAACCAGGGTAAGGACACGAAGAGGACTCAGTATGCCAGCCGGTGCCGAGGTCTGTCCTCCTGTAGTCGACACGCTTGGCGGTCGCGTGCTGTCCTGCTGGACCCGGAAAGGTACAGAAACCCAGAGGAATGAGTAAAAAAGAAACGCTTAAGTTGAGCTTAAAATCATGTTTCTTTGTCCCAGAGAGCATATATCCCCCAAATAACTAACAGTGAATCTTACAATTGTACGTAAAAACACGAGAAAGAACAGGGCTTCGATAGAACAGGAGTGATGATGCCGCAGTCGCTCCTTTCTCCCCTTTTCTAGCTCCTATTTGTCAGCTGACAGCTGTAACAAATGTGCTTAACTAAAGTGCTAAAGTGCGGTCACTATTCAGGCTTGAGTTCAGGTAACTCTTGTCCAGCTGCGCGCACAAACTGGCGCCATATCACGCGGGTCGGGCGGCGTGGCTTGTGATCCTGCACCCCCAGACTTGGTCCTTGGACCAACCAACCACATGCCCTACACCCAGCTAATCACTTGCTCAAGCTGGCGCGGACATGTCAAACTCGCGCAAACAACGCCGTCACTTACGCGCGCGCATTGCTCTGACACACAGGCAAACTGCCAGCTCACGACAACCTGCCCTGTGCATAGACTAAATGGGCTCTCGGTTCATTGGCTTCTGACATTGGACGAAATGGACTTGCGTGCGTGCGTGGTTAAAGTTTGCATACCACTCTTGACCGCCACAATGACTGGAGATCAGCGTAGCTTAAAAAGCGAGGCTGAGCAACGGATTTCAACCCAAGTTAGGGACTACATGGACTCCTAGAGTTCATGCGACACACCACAAAGGTACCAGCTTGTCTAGTCAGTGAGGGGAAAAGGGTTACAAGGGACGCATAAGGATGCTCTACTATACGTCCTGAGCGGACGCCTGATCTTCAAGCCGTGCCGACAGTATTGAGGAAAATAAACACAATCGAGTCAAGAGTTAGAGGCAAGCTAGGTTTCCATTTTGGAAGCGTAATTGTGAAGAATGCACTCAAACATCTACCTCAATGGATGGGTGTTATAACCTCAATAACCACTAGTGTAACCGGGAAGGTACTCACGGTGCAGTGTTGATGTCGAAATGATGGGACTAATTTCACAATAGGGGTTCTGTCTGGCTGACAACACTACAGACGTGACTCCAGGGGTTAAATAAACATGCATGTCCACCGTGGTTGTCTATCCTAATAGAAATAAAGCGACACGCTAAATGTGATGAGATATTTTTGGCGAACGAGGCTGCTAAAACAGCAGGTTTACTCATAAACGATGCAAAACCTTAAGTATAGTCGAGTGTTGAAGAACCGTCCTCTACATAAGGCAGAGAGAGCTGGTTTCAAACGAAACAAGTGACATTCCATCGCGATGACATCTCGGTTTATCTAAAGGAAACGGCCCAATTTGTTGGGGCAAAATCCACCATTCAGTTTATGCGCTCTGCATATTATAATTGGCAATCCGGTGTAGCAGTCCTACTGGGAGGGTAGGGGACCACTCACGGGCGATGAGTTCGAATTTCGAATCGATAAGGCTTGCGGGGGGTCTTAGCATGGCCTTCAAACTTCTGTCTGACAATAACGGGCTTGCCTGATTTCCCGGCTCGAATCGTTGCACATGCGGAAACCCAAGAGAGGACACTGGAAGCCAATCAGATCAGCAATCAGCACAGCCATATTGAGTACAAGCATATTCCTAAACATGCCTCAACGCCCTATTGCAGACATCAGACTGAAACACCAGCAAGCATGTGGTACGGCGAAAACCAAGCCAAAAATGATGTAACCAATAGAAATTCGGTAGACGATAATGACAAATGGATTTACCCCTGTATTTGGACTGGCCATCGGCGAGAGCGATCGCTGCTGTTGTTGTTGATGTTGCCTATCATCCACCAAAGACGATGGCTGGATACTGCAGGCCGGGGAGACGCCTGATTTCCGAGAGGTGCCGGTCGAGGAGGCCTTAGAGGAGGCATTTGCCCTGGATCTCGGTTGACATCGGCCATCGGCAGTCAACGCAGGGACGCTGGGAGCGAGCGTGCCACTTAGGACTTTTTGTACATATTCCTCGTGAGAGAATTCACCCTGCACAACGGAATCGATTACCTCGTCCACGCTGTCCCTCGTAGGGCCCACATGCAGCGGATCGCTGGGGCTTGGTGGGTGTATATCTGCGACAAAGCTACGAGACCCTAAGTTGCTGGCAGACATGCGAGTTGAGTTCTGGTTAGTAGGTTGGCAGAAATCCTCGTCAAAATTAGGCTCATAGGGATCCGTCTTCGTCAGTTCTTTCGTTTCACTAGAGACGGATGAGGCCTGAGACAGCCGCCGAGTTCTTCTCCCATAGCTGTGCTCCGTGGCAGAACCACAGTTTACGTCCTTAGCAACCAAAGGAGGAATTTGACTGTACTGTAGAGGCGATGCACAGTTCACTGTAGGATGCGTTGGTGAGGGCAAAGGTTCACTGGCGTTCAAGCGCGAGACCGAACTCAGTACAGATGAATTAGGGGAGAGGATGCCGGTGGAGGCCCCAGAGCAAATAAGGGTGGTGGCCTTTTGGACGGATTTCTTAGTGCGCTTCACTTTCTCGCGACTATGCATACTCTCCTCGTCTTTTTCTTGTTTGACGCGCTCGATGACACGCTGAACATAGGAGGTGTAGGACGATCGATCTGAATTTTCGGTGACTTGACACAAAGACACGGGTTCCAGCGATGGTGCGACGGAGGTGACAGTCATGGGTTGGCCAGAGGAGGAGACGCATTGAACAGAAGACGATATAGTATCCGATGCCCCACTTGAGACGGTTGGCAACTCCGAGATGGGTCGGCCGGCAATTAACTTGTCTACGCCTTGACAAATACTAACAGGTCCGACAAACGAAAGGGTTGCGGTCATTGTAGCTGGCGCAAGAGTGACATCCCTTGAGGAGAGTGGGGCAGCCGCCAGAACAAAGGTAGGTTTGTTCAGGGCCGTCGTTGAGGCATCACACGCCGGATTAAATTTCGATGCAGTGATGGGGGAGAACGTTTGTGAGCTGGGATTTAATAACAGGGCGATATGCTGTTGCACAGGAGTTCCTGGTGACTGGGCAGACGCAAGCACCGGGTGAGCCTGAACTAGCGGCGCACCTGAAGGAACAGCAGCAGCTGTGGCGGCAACGACTGATACGGTCTGACCCACGGGCGCCAGAAATTGCAACGACCTGGGTGTTAGGGGTTCAGAGTTAGCTGGCAACGCCTGATCTCGCTTAGGTGGGAAGATTCTCTCTGACAGGAGTGATTGAGTGGCAGCATTAGAAAGTATGTCCAGGCCAGAAACCTCCTCACCAGGGTCAGCGCTGGTTTCAGCAGTCGAGAACAATGCGGGTGGCTCTTCCGGAGGCGAATTTGCGTTGGGGATGTCAGTAGTCGAGACACTTAGATGACTAGCAGTCTGTAGTAAAGACTCCGCTTTGTCATTGACACTGGCCGAACAAACGTCGGGCGAATCGACCAAATTTTCGAAAACCGCCACGTTGGTGGTAGCCCGGTGACCTTCAGAAGAGGAATTACAAGCGGGGGCCTGTTCACCGACTAGATCTAACAAGGGCTCAGTTTGGGCTGAATCTGCAGTCAATTCTGAACTCTGACAGTAGTCGATATCCTCGGGCGGAAGCGTTGACCCGCGCACAGGCTCCATGTCGTCCTCAGTTTGTTTTTCTAACTGAGGTATTTCGTCGCTGGCATCTGTCATCTGCACAGGAGGTTCTTCATCAGACACTTTCTTGGTAGCAAATGGTTCCGGTGTAAGACGACTGTCTGGCTTTTGCTCGCCAAGTTCCTTATTGGCTGGTGGTGTTTGATATCCCTTGGAAGGTATATTCCCGACCGGGGAGGAGGGCGTAAAGGCCACCTCGTTAGGGCTGCAAGAACGACTGATATGTGGGGAAGATGAGGGAGTCGTGGAAACGCTCAAGTTCTTCGTGTGTGCGCGCTTAAGACCACCGCCAGGTTTGGACTGGGAACTAGATGTGTCAGAATCTGAGGAGGCGAAAACCTGACGCACATGACGCTTCAATGCGGGCGCATTCCTAGATCTTTTGTTACTAGATATGCTGGTCGATTTCCGATCACGCGCCGGTTTGGCTTTTTTCGGAATGAGTTCCGACATCCTCGAGTCTTTGGTCATCTTTTGTGAATTCGTAGAACGTTTGAGTTTCCCAACTTTGTGTCCCAGTTTAGGCGTCTCGGTAGAAGCTTCCATGTCAGACGGTCGCTTAGAGGAGCCGACTTCGGGTGAGAGAGGGCGTTTCAGCCTGGATTTTTTGCCCGAGACCTTTGTGGACTTGATGCTAGACGACTCCCCGTCGACCTGCTGAGGATCGTGTTCCCGCGTCTTCGAGATCAAACAGGTTCTCTTGTGTGTCTTTGAGACGGATTCGGAACCACAGGGTTGGATCTGCACAGATGAATCTTGCGAAGCCGGCGACCCCACGTCCTCACTAAGGCATTCGTCGGTGTCCGAGTCACGACCTGAGTCGAGACCAAACTTTTCTCTCGACCTAGCAGCCTTCTTTCGACTTTTTAGAAATGACTTCAACGCTTCGGGCTTAGACCGTGTTCCCGAGTTTCCATCCACGATGTCTTTATTGGCTCGGCGCTTGATTTTGTCATACATGGATTCGTACTGACCATCAGCTCCGAATTCTTCAAAATAAAAGGCGGAGGAATCTTTGTTGGATGTGGAGGAATTCAGCGGTTTCCAATCTTCCTCATCACTATCTTTCTTTTTCTTGAGGCGACGCCTCTTGACGGAATCACCTTTGAGGTGTGTTTGGGCGTTCGACGTGTGGGCAGCGGTCTGTGATTCAGAATGCTTGGATCTAGAGGCAGAGACAGAGGACAGGAAAGATGAATCCTTACGTCCTGGTGCGTTATCTTTCTCAGAGAGCTTCCGAGACATTTCTCCAGCGTCACCCAAGGCATCCGGAGTCATTTGACTTGCTTTTTTCGTGATCTTCGAGAGGGCAGGAGTCACCTTAACCTTCTGTTTCAAAGGGGGGACCGCCGGACGTTCGACTGGCCGCGAGTCAGGCGGAATGGTGATCTCCTTTTTGTCAGACGCATTTGCTACGCCCACCTTATCGCTCAGCTCCTTTGGCTTTGGTTTAAGGGAAGCAAGTTTTGGCGATTTTGGTGGATGGGTAAACGTGGTGGTAGATAACTTTCGCTTCGAGCCTATTTCCATAAATAGCGAGCCGACATCCCTGCTCACAACCTGGGATGCCATAGGACCGCGTTCCTTAGGTTTTGTCTCACCAGAAGACTGGCCTGAACATAATTTCTTGTCAGCCTTCTTATTGGTTTGGATGAGCTGTGTGGCTTGGGGCGTAAAGAAGTCCTTTAAGTGCAGGCCATGCGCCTCCTTAGAATTAGATTGTACCTTTGCAGCAACAGCAGTGGGGACCTCCTTTTTAGGAGTTGGTTTAGCTTTAACCAAAGGATTTACTGTGACGGGCTTGAGAACCGTCCGAAGTGGTGTGGCAACGGATGACGGTGTCTCTGATGCAGCTGTGGAAACAGAACTCACACTTTGTGCCGAAGTAGAGACACATGTCTTAGGAGGAGTCGGAATGTAAGAATTTTCCGAGGACCGAGGCGGTAGAGGAGAGGCCGTGGAGACATTGGGCTGCGTAGTGGCATGTGACAAAACGGGATCCTGAGAAACAGTAGTAGGGGCTGAAAACGCAGGCCTCTCAGTCTCAATGGACCTGGTGCTAACGGCGGGGAGTTCATTGCTACTCAGTTGGAAACTACCGCTTGGGGGTACGGAAAACTCAGAATGGGAGGTTGAGGCGGGAGGCTTGCTTGAGAGCATACTCTTGACAAACTCCGAAGTGTCTGCAGGACGGTTACTCAGGCCACCAGAAGTCGATATGGGAGATGTTGACTGCACGAATGGGGGAATAGATGAAGAAACTTTGTGGAAGGGGCTGGGGGGAGAGAGGAGAGGGGAAGGCATATGCTTATCAGGTCCTACAGAATCCACAGAGGCGCCGTGTGTAGCAAAGACACCACTCTTACGCCTGAGCCTAAATTTGCTGTAATCTACAGTTGGCCTCAACTTCTCTGAGTGCCTCAGTTTGACATCCAGAAGGCGTATCCGTTCGTCCAATGAGGAGTCCGTAGCATCTGTGTGAAGGAACGAGTCCTGCTCAGAATCACTAAGCGACAGGTTGTCGGTCTCAGAGACGGAAGAGCGGGGCTTTTGGGGAGATGGTAACGGTTTTTCAGTCTGTCCAGTGGTCTGCTGCAATCCATCCTTACCACTAGTTTCAATCCACAGGGGACGATAGGTACATGAGGCAGACTGGGGTTGCTGTGCTGAGGCAGACAAACGGGGATCACGGTTGCTCTTAAACAGGGCGCTATCGAACGAAGACAATCGCGTCCTTGAGTACATTGGGAGGTCAGATTCAATGGTTGACGCTGTCCCGTGCTCCCACTGTGACGGTGGTGATGCTATAGATCCGTAAGGCGGAGAGGCTGGTGTTGGGGCGAAGGCCTGAATGGCAGGACTACATCCTGTATTGGAGAGCTTTCCACTGTGTGAATAATTCGCATGAGTATGGTCACGCGAGGCGGAAGAAATAGGTGGTGGTTGTGGCAAGGGTGACAGAATTTCCGAACTCTGACCCATGGGGGAGAAAATAACATCTCCAGGATCGCTGCTGCTGCTGTGACCAGCACTGCCGCTAGCGGCAGAACAGTACAAAACGGAGAAATCCCGCTTAGGAAGCCGGTCAACATTAAGAGAATCCTTCGCGTCCATGGTTCCTGCTACGCATGGCTGACTGTAGGCAACAGTCGGTCCATTGTAGGTTGATGTCAGACCACTGTATGGGTCGCTGGGACGTTCCGTAGAACTAAAAGGGAACAAATGTCTCTGTAGAAAAGCAGAAAGGTACACACGTCCTCATATAATAAGGGCGATCAAACGCAGTCAAAAGAGTTCAGTATAGATAAAATCCGAACCCATTTAGTCAGAGAAAACACTTTAGCGAATAAATTATTCAAACTCGAGATGTCATCCATGAGCGTAGCTGCGACGTCATAAGTTCACTCGACCTCAGTCGAGTTCCAGCCAGCCATTTCCGAGTCAGTGGATAGGACGCCGTGGAGCATTGATCGCCATTGGTACGCAGAGACATCTGATTCAAAAGCAGACACGGACAGCTAATTCAGGATCGGCACCAGTCGGGTGATATCCTGCCATCCTAAGTACGCATATTCGGTATGATTCGAGAATTGTTACAGTTTAATTACGATGGTCTAGTAAAATGCAATCACCGCAGAAACAATACCTGCATTGAACGTACTGCACTACATACTGCTGTCGACATTTTCACCATAACGCATCATGTTGATATTTCCTTGCTACTAAGGCAGTGGTCGGGTAGCCCAAAATATTTCTGATCCAAAGGCCGCGTAACCTAAACCCAGACCGGAAAAGTGCATTTTCGTAACACTGTGGGAGAGGCTTATTGCTACCGTGAGGCGACTGTCTACATCTAGCTTCTGAAACAAAACAATTCCCCGAGATATTAGCTTTAGCACCGGAATTGTCGGTCGGTGGTTTATTCAAACAAGCGCGACTATCTACCCTTTTTGATATCTGTATGGAACGACAAAAGCGTAGAGGCCATTCAGACTGGATAACAGGGACACAAGTCTAGTTCACAACCCCTTGCCGGACAAAAGTACTCGCAGTCCTGCACAATAATGGAATTACTGTCTGGCTTTATCATTCAATGCGACACAGCAGGAGTTCAAAAAGGTAAATAATTCGTGACGCGAATGACATACAACTTTCTAGTACAAATAACAGCCCTCCACGTGGAAGTCGCAACTTTCAAAAACTGAACCTACAGGAGCGATGACTGCCGTTTTGCACAGCGTCTTTCGCCACAGTCAACTAGAAGTCTGCTAACGGCTACAAGGAATTCACATCGTTCCACTGGATGCTGCTTTGTTGTCATAGAAAGTTGTCAGGTTGATTAAACTAGTCATTAAGTGGAACGAGTTTCAGAAGATGAGACGCAGCTACTCGCGTACCCCGCCGAAAGCCCAGAAATGTTGCATCGTCACCAGTAACGGTCCGGCACTAAAACTTAATTGAACGTGATTATGTTCTCTAGCCGACCAGGTTACTATCCTTCTTTGCGAAAAAAAGGCGGCCAAAGCCAGGAAACAACCTACATTACAAAGTCGAGAACTGAGAGCAGTTTATGGTGTCTGTATCCAACAAACTCCCCCTCAATTAAAGGAGAGTTTAGAATCAGTCAGATCGGTCAAGAGTCTGGCGAGCCGACTGTCATTACTAATGACATTATTCGTCGCTGCTACAAACAAACGAACATGGGCGTCCATAAGGTCGTCAGAGGCTCCGGAAAGAGGTCAGTTTGGCGGAAAGAAACAGCGTAGTAGACATTGAGGATGACTTACTTAGAACTGATCACTGAGTTGGAAAACGTTTGAGAGACTGAATCCGACGGTTGACTGCCGATGGAGCCAGTTTTTAGTAGGGACAACTGGCGTAGGAGTTCAGCTCGTTCACGTTCAAGTTCAGTTAGCGCCTCAAAGTTTGCAAGGCACGAAGGAGTCGTCTTGAATGAACATTGATTAGCACGGCTTGGAAGAGCTGGCGTCTCCATTTCTTTGACAGGTTTTGATTCGGTTGATAAGGAAGGCCTTTCTAAAAGAGGCACTTTTGTAACAAACTGCTTGTTGGACACGGAAGGATCCAGAGGCCGGCCGACGCTTCCACCCAAACTGGATGCCCCTTCAGGTGCCGGCGTCACATCGACGGCGAGCTGTGGGGGTGGTCCCGTATGGGACTGGTGTTCGGGAGTATCAGACAGGGCCCGACTACCTTTAGAGTTGCCATCACCTGAGGAGGGTTGATCTGGAGGATTTGGTGTGCAACTGCCGGAGTTCGTCGTGCGACGCTGCTTCTCTTGCCTGGCTAACGATCGCTGTGAGCGCTGAGAGGCGGCCTCTTTACGCTGCATTTCATCATGCCGTTTGGCAGTAGCGTGAGTTCCGTCAGATTCCGCTAGATGTAAAGATGAACGACGTTTTGAGGATGACCAGTTCTCAAGCTGACCGTTTCTTTCAGGGGAAGATTCACTACAGGAGGAGGTCACACAATACTTCCGCCTGGATCTCGAACGCGGGGGATAAGGTCCTGTGGGGCTTGAGTCTACACTGACATAATCCGTCAGGCTGGGAGGTTGATAAGATCCATTCGTGCGAGAGTAGTCGCTAGGATAAGTGGTATTTGATTTACGACCTTGTGACATTCGGTTCTTGCGACCTGAACGGGAAAATTCATTGAAACGACTAGATGAATTGATACGAGAAGCCTGCCGACGGTCAAACCCGAGAGGTTCGGCCGACGGTAGATTTGAGACCGACTGTTTGTAGTGAACCGAGGTGGACAATCCAGGATTCGGTAAAAGGTGCCCACGGCCAGAAGAGCTGGAACCGTTAGTAATGTCACGCGTAGGAGAGTTCCGCGAACTGCAGATACTTCCCTTGCCTGTAGAGCCAGATCGCGAATTTGAATGACGAGACCGTGAATTAGAAAACCTTGATCGTGAGGTCAACAAAGAACCATCCGATATATTCACTGATGAAATGGACTCCTTCAGGCGTCTCGTATTTGATCCGGCACAACTAAAAGGAAAAATGAGAATAGAAGTTTCTTCGAATAAGTCGGATTTTTGTTGCTCGGCAAAACAGAACGAGTCAAAGCAGGGTTAATTGCGCAGCATCTGAATCAGACGTGAAAGTTAGTACTATGAAAGTAGCTCAGTGGCATCGTCGTACTTCTGCAGATTTGTGGGCAAACTACTCTAAAAGCGGTCACAGTACGTTGGATTGTTCCAGGACAGCATAACCCCCTCCCCCGAAGCACCACTACTGATCTGAGAATAAGACGTGCTTATGCTATAATACGTATGGAATAGAGTAAAAATACAATAGGATGAAAATTCCTAGATAAAAACAGATGTTACAAGAACCAACCTTCGGCCATCTTCCATAATTTGAAAGACATTTCCGTAAGTGGGCCAACAGGCAGCAAGGATTTCCTGGATCTTCTCCCTAGGAAGATGAAACGAAAAGCTCTCAAAAGTTACCTGTAGTTTCCATAGAAGCTGTTTAATCCGCCACCCTTGGCCATTTTCCGCATGAAGGCCACCTGGCACTCGTAGGTCGCGTAGTCGATTTGAACCTTCTTGCCTATAAACGTCCGGTTCCGCGTCTCGTTTAAAGCTCGTTGTGCAGCCTCAATTGTATCAAAGTAGAGAAGTGCACGAAGTAGTTTTCTGTCGAGGACGACATGGTTCAGACGACCATATCGGCCAAACTGACGGACCAGAAACGCTTCGGTCATACTGACAGATAGGTTGTCCAGCCACACAACATTGGAGGGCTGACTCTTCCCAAAGCCTAGTTTAACTTGTTTCCCTGAGATTCGCACATTCTCCTGATCGCATAAGGCTCTGACGACACTTTTGATATCACAGTATTGAACAAATGCGTAAGATGTCCCCGGCTGGTTTGTTTGTGTTTTTATATCGATCTCCTAGAGGCAAGATCAGTTAGCAAAACCAAGAATTACAATTATGTCTCCGTAGATCTGAAACACTCTCCGGAGGTCCTCCTGAGTGACGGATGCCGAACATAGATTACCGACAAAAAGAGTTTTCGTGGCTTTTGGGTGATATTCATCCATCGCGTGTTCTGGTGGACATAGATCTGGATCTTCCAAATCTAAAGAATACGACCATTAGTTAACCTCCGTCTTACCTAGACCGTCCACCAGTTCAGATCGCACAGCAACTCCGAAAAACACCTTGCCTTTTGAATGTTCATAGGCTTTTTCGGCGTCTTCGGCTAGTTTAAACGTAATGTGAGCAGATCGACTCGGACCAGAGCCCTTAACTACAATTGAGGTAATCTTCCCGTGTTTTTTGTATTCGTGGAAAAGACCCTCGCGAAGATTCGTATCCGAAGATCGCAGAGGCAACTGTGTGATTCGTAATCCACGAAGGTTACTCGAACGCGAAGTACGTGACTCTCGGCGTGAATGTCGTTTAGAATCCATGCTGGCCTTGCGATGCTCTCGCTTCGCCGGGGAGTACCTGAATATCGATAGAGACAAAAGTTCAAAATCTCACGACTGATTTTTCTTCGAATAGCCACATTGCGGAGAGGAGCTTCGTGAACTATACGGACTTGACGACGAACTATCCGTATCTATGTCTTCTCCACCAATGCTCTTAGAGTCCGAAAGTGATGACGATCTAGGTCGAGGATACAAATGAGGGTTTTTAAAATGAGTGTACCGTTGAGCAGGCTTTTGAAGGCTTGCAGCTTTCGGAGTATTTGAACTACAGCACGGTACTCCGGAAGACTCGCAGTACTGAAGACGGAGGACGGTTTTGTTTATCCTGACCGAACTCTCTATAGCCTTCGTCGCAGATTTAGTATCCAAAAAGGCGACAACTGCGCCGCGAGTCTGGCCAGCGTCATGTATCCGTACGTTCTGAATTTTTCCGTGGCTAAAATTTCAAAATATAATTCCGATTGGAGTCGTTTAAATCCGGAAAAAAATAAATTCCCAACGCAAACAAATGAGAGTATACGCGCGAAACAGGTTGCAGGACAACGGCTACCTGTTCAGCGCATTTCGTATATCTTCCTCTGAAGCGCTTGACGGCAAGTTACTAATCCAAAGATAGCGAGTTATTCTCATTCCTTAGTCCTGATAAAATCCGATAAAACGTTTTGCATTATAGGGGCGACGAGAGACTCCTGACTGAGCAGAACAGGCGACGCAGCTAATGACCGTTTAAAACGTGTGGCTTAGCGCCGAGGTCAGTCACGACTGGCAGGCAGGCGAGAGTGCTGATTGGTCCATGGAACTCTATCGACCGCTCTGTCGCGGTTGCACTGGTCAAGTTAGCCAATCAGCTTCGAGAGCGAATCCACGCATGTCTTAGGCCTATGCATGTGTCTGCGCATCGATTACGCATTCAAGCGGTTGTTGCAGTCTGCCGTAGCTTGCCTCTGACAATTTTGAGGCCGACAGTTCTGCCAAAACCAACTGCATGGCGTGCCGACAAGAGGAATAAAACGGCATAAAGACTCGCGTGATTACTGCCATCTGTTCTTCGCAAGCCAGCTAGCCCATGGAAAATCGTGCAAAACTGTGGCTTGACGGATGCGTTAAGGCGTCATTGTAAAGCTGGAATTGCCGGCGTCCTCCCCTGTCAGGAATTACTAGAGCTTAGACATACCAGCTATGCTGTGCAACAGTAATCTATTTCCGGATGCGTTTACCCGCAGACCTTCACATTATTAATTGCAACAGGACTTAAAGTCATTTTGGAGCTTGAGTTAGTCTTACTGATTTTCAGCCGGGCGTACCAAGTCACTTATTTTTTTACAAGTAATGGCAAATCTTACCATTTTCTGTCTTCCGAGTATGGCTGGCTTACGCGCTATTTACTATCAGTTGTATGGGCTTTGCCGTCCGAATCTCTACTAATTTTCCCTCGTTCTTTTGATCCTTCTACCTGACCCATTTATAACAATAGGCTATGTCGCCGCTCAAAATAGGAGCAGCCTGTTTTTTTTTTTATCGTCTCATCTCGCAGTTTAGCAGTGATTAATGCTATTCACAAACTAGAAAGACGAGCCGAGAGGTAGGATCACTATAATGGTTCGTGCTGTACGCAATTTTAATTTTCATGAGGATCTACTATCGGAAAATATTTTACGGCACTCGCGTACTCGAAGATGTGAACAACTCCGTACGTCTAGACAGGACCCGACTGGATGACAAAACGCGATGGGCAAGCGATGGCACGGACTAAGAAAACCAAAGGTACGACCCCACCATCGAGCGGAGACCATCCGACATGCTGGCTTACAAGGGTTTTTACTACGCCATCCGGAAATATTTAACACAACCATCTGATTGTAATGGTTCGTATTTTTAGCCAATCGCCACTTGAAACTTCCTAACCCGCTTCCAGTCACACTCACTTCTTTATTAATTCCGAACCAGGATATGATGACATTCCAGATTCAAAGGATTGCAGACACCAACCATTTTAAGTGTCACCACCGTCTGTGGCATTACCAACACTGGCCTGCCATTACCGCGAGCACAGCCATCATCGTTGACTTTGCTAGTGTAGTGGTAAAAAGACCCATTCTGCTCTCTCCTACAAGAGTTTTTTAGTCGAAATACATTGTTAACTAAGACAGTGGAGAGTAGAATGACCACTTCTGGCTTATTCACCGTCGGCTGCCAACCACAACCCAAGAAAAAGGAGATTGGAAACTGGATCCAATTTTTAGTTGGGTGCAACGATCCGCGAGCGGAGCCGGATATGACCATTGCAGTCACCTTGTCAATCATTGATTGCTCATCGCTATACAGCCGATTGGAATGGCTCGAAATCCGAGTTGCGTAGCATAACAGAGCTCTCATATTCCCTCCGTCAGGCGGCCGGAAGATTGTCCCAGCATCCCCTTTCCCTGCATCTAGAAATTGCATATCTGGGTGCTTCGTCGTTCACCGTGTGACCGAGTATCCGTAGTCTCCTGCTGCGGCACAGTGTGATGAATTACATCCTTGCCGGAGCGCCGGTGGTCCCACTTTTCTCGGCTCAGCCAACTTCGTCATCATGGCTTTGCATGACTCACTAGACGTAAATCTGTCATGTTACTGGGCGCGAGTTCATACCCTCCCCCTACCGTCTCGCACCTCCTAACTCGTCGAGAGCTGCGCGAGCCCACGACGTGGACTGGAGTCAGCCTCTCTGGGCCTCTCAGTGAAACAAAGCCCGTCGACACAATGCAGGCCCACAAAGTCGCGTCAGAGCTGATTCATGCGCGCTGAGTCGCACGTGTTTTCGGTGACCACGTGTTTGTAAGTTCCCGAAGGACTGGAGTCGCGCTAGTAGGGGGGTGACTATATAGAAGCCTGGTATGCGCTGGCAGTACTCCGGCACCTAATTCCCAGCCGATAGATGCGCTTGCGTTCCCGCTGGGTATACAGGTCGTGAGCATGGCTACCCCGCTCCTGACCTGTTGTGGTGCTGCTGTTGTTGGCTGAAATCCTGGCCACTGGTTGTGTGGACCAGGGGGTGTGGAGTGGAGCACCAAGGTGCGGGCTCGGCCGCACCGTCGCCCTCCCCTGCCTCCGGTCTCCTTGACTTTTTTTGACACCGGGCTCAGGTGGGGGAGGAAGAGGGAGTGCGTTAGATGCAGCGCAAGTCTACGGTCACTACAAACTAAATCACGCGCAAGTCACCGTGTCTGCTTCGTATTGCTGTGGAGTGCGCGGTGGACATCGTCGGATGGGTGGACAAAAAGAAACTTTATGCTGGCGAAAGGAGATATCAACAGAGTGCAAGTTTCTGCCTAAATCCTTATTTTGTTTCCCTTTCATCCGCAGCTTATTGCGGCCACTTCCGGCTTATTAACTTTCATCACCCAGCCTGAAGCATGAACACACGCTCTTGTCATTAGTCCAACGCTCTAACCACTGAGCCACAGGCTAGTTGTCCTGTCGGATGCGTAATCGCATTTTTTTGGTGTGGCCCTCGCCTTTACTGCCGATCCAGCAACTCCCATTACTGTCATCATTGCTACCGATATAAAGCGCTACGCTGTTAGCGCGTGACAGAGAATTCAACGTCTTTGTGAATGAATGGCTGATGCCGCCCTCCCTCCAAGCGTTTTGCAGGCCTTCAAAGATTTCTTTCACTTTCGGAAGTATGCGTTTATCGTTGTTTACGAACGAGCACCGGCCACGACTACTGACGATCTTTGTTCCTGGCTTCGAAAAATAATTTATTCTGCGCGGATTTAACGTGTCCGGAACAGGAAGCCCCGACAGTCTTCGAGTGATAAGAATTTATGTCGACCTCTTCTGGATCGTTGACTATAAACAGAAGCTCTTTAAACCGGTGTATGCTCTGAATCCAGGATGCACACGGCGAATCATTTGTGGCTCGGACCGAACTTCAGCAGTTGATGTGCCCAAACATATTTTCTGTTAGTTATTAAGGGGCTTTGATAGTCGTGCCGGTATATACTCCGCGTCAGTAGTTATCTAAAGTCTATATCTCTTACCAACGGTTTACTCAACGTCCTAACCATGGTTATCGCCAGTCCACGTGCTGAAGTCTAAGAATTTGCGGTCCCAGTTCTTCCCCATCTTCAGGTAGCCGCTGTACCTCCACCATGAGCCTTGACTCGCATGGACGCACGAATAACGCGCGATCCTAATAATCCGGCCTCGCCTAACCCGATGTCTCCTGCGTGAAAGTCGCCACCGGAAAGGAAACTGACGGTAGTGTGCCGGACTGTAATTCAGGCCCGTCTTTGCTGCAAAATCTCTCAGACACCGACCAATCAGTAGACGGGATGACTCGCCCCGTCTACACAAAATGCAGGTCAGGGTGCTGCGTTTGGCGGAGACAACGAGTCATCGACAGGCCGTGTGCATCGGCGAAGCATCCGGCAAGTGTGCATTCCGATCTCTGTTAGCCTGAATGGCTACCATAAAAGAGCGCCAGTAAGGAGCTGGTCTAGGAAACAGCTAGATTTCTACTGCGTCTGGTGCCCTAAAACGACAACCATGTAACCAGATACGGCGACCGCAGGACGTATTTTTAGGGCCTGCCTACAAACGGAAGAAGTGGTTGATCCTTCATCTGGTCGTGGTGGGAACTATGACAATGAAGTGTGCGTCATGTTAAAAAGGCAGTTAAATATCGAGACTCAATGGGGCGAATAAAAACTTCCTGCTTTTTTGAAATACTGAAGAGTTGAACAGTTTCCAGACGAGACCTTTGATCAAGATAAAATTGCGGTAAGATTTAAAAAACCGAGAAAAGCTTCATGTCATTTTATGGTGAATCGGTTTCTGCAAATTAGTAAAATCTTCGAGGCAGATATAGGTCCCACGTCTCGATCAAGTTATCCAAGAAGGTGGCCGGGTGGACAGTGTAAACATCCAGTCTCTCTTGTCTTTGTCGGTAATACCATTCTGCCTATATATCATGCGCCGCTGTGCGGCTGCTGGTTGGGCTCGAGAGAGAGAGCCCTTAAGGCACAACGGAACGAGTGAGTTCCGTATGAACGATCGGTGAGCGCCCCCTACCATTGTAAACATCACTGTCAATATGGATTATTCAAAAAAATCTGCCAAAATACCTATGAATTACGTGAGCCTGGTAGTCATCTGGTGGATTCTAGGCGAACTACTTAGGAAATCCTGTTTGGGCAGTCAACTTACTGTATCACATTTGGTGGATTCCAGACGTTGCAGTAGGTTGGGCAGGTAAACTTGACCCAAATGTGATTAAACTCGAGTCGTCCGGCGGGCCTCGTAGCTCAAGTGGCTAGAGCGTTGGCTGTACTAAAGCCTTCTCCTTACTGCGTGGGTTCGAATCCCACCGCGGCGCCGAGTTTTCCACAGTTTGGTCAATATGAATTATTCAAAAAACTATCTGCCAAAATACCTGTGAAACATCACTGTGTTTAGGATGACTAGCCTGAGGACTGAGAGCCAGACTCAACTGCACAACTATAGCACCCTCAGTAAGGTAGGGTCCGAGTCGTCCTCCATTCTGTGAAAATTTGGTTTGACAAACTGGCCATTTCTGGCTTATTAGCCGTCGTCAGCCAGTCATACCCAACCCTGAAGTGTGAAAAAACCGAGGCTCGAACTCG